CCCAGTCCACATGGTGGCTTGTGAAACTGCAGTAAGGTGAAGGTCACTTCATCTACACTGGCTTGTGAGAGTGCCCATGGACATCAGTGAGCATCTACTGAAGATGTGAATATTCAGTACTGCAAATTAAAAGATGCTTTGCTGGAATTTATCTAAAAGCCATATGAAATCAATGGGAAGGAAAAGCCTACTGTGTAGGGTCTGTGTCCTAGGACAGGTTATCATCATACCCAGAGTTGTGTCTCTCTCCTGAGTCACCTCCAGCCTCCCAGCATGGCATCATCTTACAGCTTCCCTGATTGTCTCTGAGAAGAGCACATTCTCATTATTCATTCTAGAGCATGTTCCTCTCATCATTTTGACAGGTTGTTGCTTTGAGGGCTTCCCTCAAAATGCTTCCTTCTCTGCTTCTGCCAGTAGCAATAACTGTCATCATCCTAATTGCAGCTTTTCTAAATCAGCATTTGGCACCATACCCACCTTTGCTAGTACACAGATGTATTTCACCTTGTCTTACTGGGAAATATTTTAAGGGCAAATAATGTAAAAATATGCACCTCAGAACAAAAATAAAAGAAACCCCTCGCATGGCAGAATTTGTATAGCCATTGTTCCATGCAGCACACTGGGATTTGATGGGACTCAAAGTAACAGGGTATTTGCTAGTTGACCATCTGAGCAGGCCGATTCCAATGACGTCTGCAGAAGAGCCTAGGTGCAGGTGAGGGTTTACTGCCCTATCACCATGCTCACCTCCCAGGGCCACGTAATCTCAACCTAGGCAATCACACCCTTCCTCCATGTTCCCGCAGGGACCTCTGTGCCATGGCTTCCTGAAAGGCAGACCAGTGTCTGCCTACACTCAGAAAACAGGCCCATATAATCCTTCACACTCTTCATGGTCAGCTCAGGTGGCTGGTCCTGAAGCAATGGCACCAAGCGTCCAAGTGACACCAGGTATCACTTTGAGGGTTCTTTGAGCAGAAAGCCATGGTGAGGTAGCAGTGGAAATACTGCCTCTCTGGGCTGGGGTGAACATTGCACAAGCTGGGTTTGGGGTACAGGCTATAAGGGGATCTTCAGTGTGCTGGACACCTGATGGGATGGCTCTGCAAGAGGGGCTGGCCGACGTCCCTCAAGGGCCCAAAAGTAGGCAGCATCTTCTGTGAGCATGAGTGATGCCCAGGCTACTTGGTACTGGTAGGTGGAAGTCACTTACTGGGGTCAATTCAGGTCAGAACAGAGAGCTGTATTTCAGAGGACAAAGCATTTGCAAACAATGACTGTACCCAGTTTGACTCCAATTCCATCCAACTTTTAGTCCTTTAAGTGATGAGATGCATAGAGGATCAGTGGCTTTAGGCCAAAATGAAGATAATATGTTGTTCTAAAAGACTGTTACTTCAAAATATAGAACTCAGAGGAATCCCAGAAAGAAACTTATTTTCCTAGTCCTCACCTTATCAGAGAAGAGACAGATGCCTGCTTGTATGGGTGATCTCCAAACAGATGAGCCCTGCACAGGTGAGCTCCACATCTGTGCAACCCCACACAGATACAGGCCCACACAAGTGAGCCTCACACAGGTGTATCCCCACATGACTGATCTTCACACAGGTACAAGAACATAGAGTTACAGACACACAATGGCAATGTCATTGAAATACATTTTATGTAAACATTCAGTGTATATTATGATAGTACTTCATAGACAGTGGAGTTATGTGGTCACGAAACTGATGGTACTCTACACAGATCCCATGAAAATGTAAGAGATATATTGTTAAACGGGAAAGAAGGAAGTGTCCACATAGATGATCTCCTGCTTCTGCAAAAACTCACATGTTGGGAATAGGTCCCCTTCCAGGATGAGATGCCCTGAGCAGGACTCAGAAGTGGACCTCACAGGTACCTCTGCAGGCACAGTGATGCAGCTTGTGAGATGCCATCCCTTGTAGAGGGTACACCCCAACTGAGAAGACCAACAGGGAGGCCGCATTGGGAGAAAGCAATGGTCACAGATGGCTGCTGGACACTGGGTGCCGCTGGGCAGAGAGGGCCACCCGTAGCCTCCTCACAGTGTTACCCCATGGAGCCAGCTTGCCTGGAGGTCCACACAGCAGTGGGTCTGGGAAGTGTAGGGTTGGGGATACTCCAGTGAAGGGACCTCAGAACAGGCCAATAGTATGGGTCAAGGAGGCAGCATCAAGCCCATGAGCTGAGACCAAGTCTAGCTACCTTCAGCTCTGCCATAGCCTTGGATGTGGTATCTGGAACATGGTGCCTCACTGGTAACTTTCTTCAGAGTTTTGTCCTCAGGAGCTGAGGGTGCTGGACAGCGAGCCTGACCCCACTCCTGGCTCTTCTTCCTGGAGCATGACTCAGGTGAACCTGAGAGAACGGCAGCCTTGGAGAGGAGCTCTGGGTCACTCCACGTCCTGCCAGATGGCCATTCTTTTCTGGCCACAGCAAATACAATACTAGGAATGGCCAGGGTACAAGGAGTGCTTTGCTGTGGTTTCTCCTAGGAAGGAGAAAAATCATGCTTTATAATAAATGATCTTGGACCTGACTGTGCCTCCCCAGTGTGGCTGGCTCAGCTGAGCTGGTCCAGAGGCCTGAGGTACTTTTCTTCTCAGGGTCAAATAGGAATCACTCTCCAGTTTCTTTCTCCTTGTCCCTCCTCTTCTTGCTCACATTAAAACACCCCTCTGTGCTCATGAGTTCCAGTATACAGAGTGGGCACAACTGGTAGTGAGGTGATGTTTATACTGTGTCCTTCCTCCATCTGGACACCAAGATGGACTTGGCCTGTGGCATGGCTTCACAGGGCATATGATACCCAACAGCAGAGACCCCTGTGGAGGTGTCTTACTCAAATGGTGACCTTAGGAGGCATGTGGTGGCTTATGTGAGGCAAGAATATGGGGACTGCACAAAACACAGTCCTTTGGCATTGTTATCTGAGGCATTTAAGTCACCATGGAATGGTGTTATGGTCTAGATCTAAAATGTCCCCCAAAGTCTCTTGTGTTTGCCTAGTGATTGGATCATGAGGTTCAGTAGCTGAATGTGCTGTTGAGAAGGGCCTGGTTGGAGGTGGTCACTGGGGGCCTGACTTGGAAGGGGGATTCTTGTCCTTACTCCTCCCTTTGTTCACTGCTTCCTGGCTGTCAGGAGTCCTCTGCCAGGCCCTTCCACCATGCTCTTTCTGCCTTGGAGCCAGCCAACCATGGGCGGGACTCATGAAGCAAAATAAATCTCTCCTCCTTTAAATTGTGGGTGTTGTGCCTCACATCCCAGCAACAGGAAAGTAACTAATAGGAACTGCAAGGAAGGTCCTCAGCCTGGTTGGTTTCGGGGGAGGAAGGTGGTCCCCGCCATGCCACTGATGGGAGATGTTCCGACTCCATCCAGCTCAGCCGCCTGGCACCCTGGTTCTGTAGGAGCTCTGTGGCTGAGCTTCTTGGCTGGAGGCTGGAGGATGGACTTCATTATTGCCCATGATGGCTGGGTCATTCCTGCCCTGAATGCAGCTGGAAGGCACAAAGCCTTCACTGCACCACCTGGCTCTTGCCTTGGCTCCTCTCGCAGCGGTGGGGTTGGCCCTTCCAGGACAACCCCCACAGGTAGCTGCACCTCCCTGCCCCAGGCAAAGGCCCACTCAGCTCTGAATTCTAAGCCACCACAATGCACACACCCATTTTTTAAATTAGAACAATTAGGGTGTGCTTTATGACTTCTACTTTACCCAGGACTGGTTTATCAGGCTCCTGATTCTCCCATACCCACCCCACCAACTCTCCAAGATCAGGAAGAAGTAATGATTCCCTTGAAATGAAAAAATTATTTTCAATTTTTAAATTCAAAAACTTGTAATTAAAGATGTGGTCTAGATACACAGTGGAATACTATTCAGCCATTAAAAAGATGGAAAGTTCATCCTTTGCAGCAACTTAGATGGATCTGAAGCAAAATAGCTAAGTGAAGTATGCCAAATGAAATAGCTAAGAACTGAAAGACAAGTACAGCAGGAGCACCTTCATGTAGAATGTGAGAATTGATCACAGATGCAGAGAGGAGAGAGGTGGTAGCTGGAAGCTGAAAGTGTGTACTTTTAGTTGGAAAGGAGGGAGGAATATGTCCTAGAGAACTATCACACAGCCAAACAACTGTACTTAATAACATATTTCAGAATACTAAAAGAGTATTGCTAAATGGATGCACATTGAGGCGATACTCTTAGGTGATATAAATAGGACACACATGTGTAAGTATCAAATAGTTTCTCTAGTGTGAGAAACAAAGTGTAAACAAGGACTAAAAGGTATATTAGATAATGTGAAATAGGAAGAAAAGGGACAAAGAGGACGGGAAATGAGAGGGAAAAAAGGAAATAAGGAAATGGAATTAATATGAGAAAATGAAAAATAATGGAAACAAAGTCATTGTAGATAGAGAGGGAGGTTTTGAAGGGAGGATAGGGGCATGGGGAAAAAATAACCAAGACTGATTATGTAAAAGTACAAACTTCCAACAGTGAATGTCATTATATTGTATACATCAAATGTACCAATAAAATTAATTTTTAAAATTACTAAAAGTAAAATTTAAATGTTCTCATCCCAAAGAAGTGGTATTTGAAGCAATGGGTATACTCTTTAGCTTAACTTGATCATTCCACACTCTACATGTACAGAGAGTCCACATTTATGGCATAAAATTATTTTTTTCAATTAAAATAAAACTTTTAAAAGTGCACAGTGCTCTTGAATTATTCAAATATTTCCTACCACAGACCTGGTTTTTTTCTCAAAAGCTAATTAATTGAGCACATGGGCCTGCTGTGCTCCTATGACCTTGCTGTGCGCACTTCTCAGAAGTAGCCTGCAGGACAGTTGCCTCACTGTCATGTTTCCTCCCTGTGAGCATCTGAGCAGAGCCTCCCACCCCTGCAGCTTTCTTGGCCGTGAGGCCTCACACTCTGCTTCTTCTTCCAGCCTGCCCTGGCATCTGGGATAACCTCACGTGCTGGCAGCCTGCAGACCTGGGTGAGACAGTCACTGTACCCTGCCCTGTGGTGTTCAGCAACTTCTACAGCAAGTCAGGTACGCCATGTGTGCTGGCTCTTGCCCCATGAAGTTTTCATTTCAGGGTTGGTTTTTCCCTTACAGAAGCTGGACCTTACTTCCTGTGGTCACTTCTGGCTGCTTCTACTGCAAGTGAAGCCAGCGGGTAGCAGGGTTGTGCTGGGGTCAGTGCTGGCACTGGGGAGCAGGAGGACATCATCCTCCATGCATGGGTGAGCAGGGAGGCGTGAAGGAAGAGGCTGAGCCAGAAACACAGACTTAAGTCAGCACCAAAACTGCCACTGGAGCAGTAGAAAAGGTAATAAAGATTCCACTGGCCTCTGCAGAGGGGCTCCCATAAACCCAACAGAATGCTGCTGGAGTTGAACTCAGAGGCTTGAGCTTGCTAGACAGCCCCTGCACTGCTGAGCTGCATCCCCAACCCTGTCTCCTGGCTCCTGAGGGAAGGGAGAGGAGTTATCTTCCCCGGAGCTGTGCCACTGGCAGGAAGGCAGCCTATGGGACTGAGCTTTCCCCTCTCCAGGTGGTGACTGGGTTGCTGCACTGACCCCACTGTCCTTAGCCTTCACCTCACCAGCTCCTTGGATGTTGCCTGAAGTTTGCAGCTTCTACATTTGCAGTTTTGGACACTGCCCAGACCCCCTCTTCTGTGCGTGGCCTGCTCTGCCCAGGATGCGTACTCTGCTCATTCCCTAGAGGAGGGTTTGGGTTTTGTGAATAATCTAGGTTTTCATGACATGGGGACATATGTCTGTAAAACTAGAGGATAGAAGATGCATATGGAAACAGGAAAGCTTGATGCTTTGCAGAACTGTGGAGAACTTATTTTTTCTGGGTGGATGTTGAAGGGTGGAAACTTTGAGGACTAATAATTTTGAACTTTAAAACAGTTTTGAGATCAGACTGGGATAGGGGAAAGGACCCTTGCTCCTCATCTGCAGCTGATCAAGGCTGAGATCACACCTGTGCTGGTACCACAGGTCATCTACAGTCTTGAGTGACCTGAGTCACTTGAGAGAATCTGAACTTTACAAACTCCCACCCAATCAATGGCTGGGATGTAAATATTCTGAAAAATCCCAATCCTATTGGCATGGAATCGGGAAGTGCCCAGCCCTGTAACACCTGTCAGGTGCAGCCTGAGAGTGAGGTAAATCTGGAGGACCACCAGCAGGTCCCCAGGGAGGTTCTGCAGCCTGGCGAATCAGGTCTCGGTCCCATTCCACCCACCAGTTTGCCTGGCAGGAGCTACTGACGCAATGCTCCTGTGGTGGAATGAGCTTGCTCTCAGTTTTGTCTGATTACTCAAAGCCATGGGCAGGTAAGCAGTCACAGTGTAGAAAGTGTCAGGACTCTGGAGTCAGAAAATCTATCTCCCACTCAGTAGTTATCCAACTTTCAGGACCTTGCTCTTCCATCTGTAAAATGGGATCAGCAACACCTGCCAAGTCTACTTCCCCTGAAAATAGAGATGATGTGAGGATATTTGCTAAATCTTGTGCTCTAGGCCCTACGGGTATTGCCCAGGGGAGGCAGCAACTCTAGGGAGGAGCATGGAAGCTCTGCTCAAGCAGGTGCTTAGGCTTGACAGGCTCAGGTATCAGTGGCCTTGTTCTTGCCTTGCCACTACAGCACCTGGGGAGAGCATCGTCTATTTGTGTGGCTGTTTCTGAGGTCACGTTCTTTGTGGACAGAAGGAACACTGCATTTCTGAGCTTAACATGCAACTTTAGATTTAGGCACAAACAGTAGGATTATGAGATCACAGATCCCTTTTTTTTTTTTCTTGCAGTTAAACCTTAACCCCACGTCTATTTCCTCCAGTTAGTAGGTGCTGTTGCTTCTTGGGCATGGAAGGGTGATAGTTGGGCTGAAGGGAAAGGAGCAAGTACCAGGAACTGGGGAAGAACAGGAAAAAATGGGCAGTGGGCAGAGCAGGCATAGTGCGTAGCAGGGTCCCTGGGGATTGGAATTTGCCATAACTATCTCTCATGGTAAAAGAACATCAAAATCATTCTGCTCCAAAATAAAAGCATTCAGATTTACAGCAATTAGAATTGTTTAGGCCGGGATTTTAGCTCAGTGGTTCCATCGCCTGCCTTGCAAGCATAAGGGCCTGAGTTGTGACCCTGAATGTGACTCATGTCTCAGCCCCACTGAGCCCATAAGGCAGATGTGGACAGGTGATGCAGATATCTGGGAAGCCAAGGAATAGCTTCTGAGTGGCAGCTGTGGCCTGTTGAGCCGAAGAAGGCACTATTTCTTGATGGCCAGGCTTCTGTACAGCTCTGTTGTCAGTCCTGAGTCTAGTTTCTACAGACTTGCAAATAAAACATTTAAATTTTTCTTTCAGGAAACATAAGCAAAAACTGCACAAGTGATGGATGGTCAGAGACTTTCCCAGATTTCATAGATGCATGTGGCTACAATGACTCCGAGGATGAAAGCAAGGTAGGTTCCTGCCTTGACACCACAGGTCCAACAATGCCCCCCTGTCCCTGTGAGAACACAGGTTCCTTTCCTCTGAGCAGCAGGTGACTACTTGCTCTCAGGGTCTCTATCTCAGCCTTGCTGCCCGGCATTCAGGATCTGCTGACTGCTCCCAATTCAAAGGTATAGAAGGCCTAAGTCTTCCGTACCCATGTCTGGGTGGTGGGGACCCTAGCAATAGGTTTCCTATCTCATCCTGAGTAGCCCATTCTCCTGATATATGGGTGTCCTCATTCCGGCTAAGTCTAGGCTGTTGAGAAGCCCTGAGCCCATGGTAGATTTGACCTAGACTGAGCACCTTTCAATCAGAGCCTAGGACTGTTGCAGCAGAGAAGCATGTGGGAAAGTGCTACTGATAGCTTATAAGGCACAGAGGGCCCACAAACAGCAGCCCTCACAGTCAGAGCTGTAGCACTGCTGGCTTGGCTTTCTACAGTGACTCTTCCTGAGGGAATGTGCTCTTAGGAATCATGACTGTTCCTGTGCAGAGCAAGGCCACGCCTGCACCTCAGCCTACACCTCTGCCCAGCTTTGTGTGCACCACCTCTCCCAGCCTAAACACTATAGGACTGTGGTCCTCTTTACTGCCAGACAGACCACTGTCCCCTGTCACATCTCACACACCAGTGGTCAAGTGTGCATGAACACACACCCACACAAGTGTGGAGCAGACAGAAACCATTTCAGAGGCCTCAGGAAATGCCCACCTCTCACAAATTCCTCCACAAGCCCACAAAACATGGTAAAATGCTCACTCCTGCCCCTTACCCTGCATCAGGCCATCCCACCTGGCACAGGTGCTCTTCTGTCACTGGAGCCTCTGGGGATCAGCCCACCTCCTCACCTTCTTTGTTCAAGCCTACCTTCTTCTATTCACTAGGATTTATGATTCAAAGCCTACTTTCCCACCAAATTATAAATCTCCAGGAAAGAAAACACCTGTTTTAGCCAATATGCTTCTAGTTATCAGGCAATGCTCCTAGGTCCAGCTAGGATGTAGGTAGGTCCAGCATAAGTGAGAGACCAGCTGGGGTTGGGATTCTCACTGTACCCCATGCACACAGGGAATGAATGAGGCTCATCCCACCCTGCAGGCAACCCTTCTCAGGGTCCCAGTATGGGGAGGAAGGAATCTCATAGCCTCCTTGTCCCTGCACTACACACGGTTGGTGACCTAGAGTGTGATGTCACTCAGTACAGATGACTCCCTTGGAAAGATGCTGACTTTTTTTAGCCCAGGTGGCTTGAGGCAGGGAATCGCCTTAGTAGGTATCATGAGCTTAGCCCACCTGATCTGTTGTGCTTTTCTGTGTCGAGTGTTTAATGTGCTCAGAGGCTGTTGTCCTCTGGTTATCCACAGGGCATGGGTGAGCATGGGTGGCCCCATGCCATGGAGTACAGAAAGCAGGTGAAGCCTTGTGCTATCTGTACTTGTTGATCATGGGATCGTGCTGGAATTAGTGTTACCATACGCCACCCACACATCCCAGGCCACTAAACCATGGAGATGTGGGCAGGAGAAGAACAGCCCTGACTTTAGAATTCAATGCAAATGAAACCACCTCCCTGTCCAGTTCTTTTGTCTTGTGGGCTCTTGGTTTCCATCATCTTCCATCCCTTCCCTCATCACCAAATCCCTGTGATAGCCTTCTTGCCCCATTCACTTGGAAAGGTAGTCACATTCTGTTTTTATACAAAAGGCCATCTCTAGGGTCATCCTATGCCAGACAATGCTGCCCCTTACTGTGCTTACTGTTCATTCTTTTGTATTACTTGGATCCCACAAATAACTGTTGGGCCCATGCAAGCAGGCTGGCACGAGCCTCTGTGTAAGTCTCTTTGGCAGGAGCCTGTCACCTCTGTGGGGCCAAGGCTTGGCATCTAAGATTCATCTACAGTTGTCCCGGCAGGAAATGTAGATGGAGGAGAACCCAGGTCAGAGCTCAGGTCAGCCCTGTTCACACTGATTCTGAATTTAGATCAAGTTTTCGTAAGAGGTTTTGAGCAGACTCCAGGCTCCCAGGATAACCCACTGCCCTATAGCAATTCCAGGCTCTCAGTTTAGCCCACTGCCCTGTAGCAATTCTAGGCTCTGAGGTTGGCCCACTACCCTGTAGATTCTGGGATCCCAGGCAAGACTATAATAACTAGTCCTGTAGTAACTTAGTATGTTCACATCAGGAAACCAACCTGTGAACTCTGAGAAGAAGGCTTTGACTTGGTTAAACAGCTATTTCTGTAGAGAGAAGGGTCATTAGACCCTGTTTTGAGACCCCTTGATTTTGACCCAAGCAGGGATGGTAGACAGGGACCCAGTAACCCTCCTGGACTGGCTCTCCTGGACTCACTAGACTATCTTAGGGGCTGTGGATTTCCATGCTGTGATGAAGATCTTGAGGCTTCTGTAGGCTCCAGGGGAAGGACTCCATGTCCAGGAGGGACAACCTGCCATGCAAGGCTCCCCATCTGAGCTTCACCTTGTGTTTGACCCTGGTCTGCTGTTGTACTTAGGAAATGGCAAGACTCAGAGGAGCCAAGCAGTCCTGCAGCCATGCCTATGACTTGTGCTCAGTGACTATTCAGTACTGTGTACAACCTGGGGAGATGTGGGCCCTATGCACATGCGCACATTCTCTTGTGGGCAGCGAGGGTATGATAGGATGCTCACATTATCTTCTGAACTGGGCCAGCCTAGCATGCCTGTGCACATGCTCATGCTGTGTTCCTGTGCAAGAGATTCTGGGGGCCTCTGTTTTGACCTGGTCTGAGGTTATACACAGGGTTGGGTGCAGGAGGACACCAGTGGGGTGGGGTGTTCTCACTGCAGAGCAGACCCCATGTCCTTAATTGCCTTCATCTGACCCAGGAGCAAGTTCCTGTGTGGACAAGCCCTGTGGCCCGCTGGGGCAATGCTCCAGCACCAATTCCCTTGAAGATCTGTTTCTCTTCTTAATTAAACATTTCATTGGCCCTATAAATACCTTAAATGCATATTTCCTAATAATGGATTAGAAAGTCAAAATATTTTAATCTGAAAAAGCATAAAAATTATGACACAAAACCCAAATAAGTAATTTTTCCTCCCCATGGCACCTTCCATTGAAAACTTTGGATACTTAGGTGTTTTGAAGACTGATGTCGAGCTGGGGTGATGCTACCTACTGCAGGATGGGACACATATGGCAGCACACACTCTTCAGAGTCCCCTCCATTCTGTGTCATCAGCTGCTCAGTTTTCTACTAGGACTATGGATTTAATTGAATTTCCTGCTAATTGACAGCCAAATTCTGCCTTGGGTGTTGTGTGTGCAATTCTTATTGGCTTTAAAATTAATTGAATTCAATGAAAAAAGTGGTCTCCACTAAAGCCACAGGCTTGGCTGCATACAAAGGTGTCAAAAGTCAAAGCACAGTGAATATCCAGAGTCCCCACAACAAGAGAGGGTGCAGGGATCCAAGGGAATTAAGGTCCAGTGTCCGACCCGAGGTTCCCATAGCCCATGAGCCATTCCAGAGTCCCCACAACAAGAGAGGGTGCAGGGATCCAAGGGAATTAAGGTCCAGTGTCCGACCCGAGGTTCCCATAGCCTCCATGAGCCAGCCAGCTGGTTGGGCTCTGTCATCAGCTTCCATACCCAGTTGTCCTGGTTTGTGTCCTCCCAAACCAGTTCCTGGCCTGGGGCAACCTAGAGTCCCATTTAAAGACGGTCCTCAGTGCTAGGCACTGACCCTGCTGGGTGGTCCCTACAGTTAGAGCTGGGAATGGGTATAGAAGACAGATCAGGAGCCACCACAGGTGACTACAGGCTATGATGGAGGGAGCAGAAGTGATGGTTGGTGCAAGGTAGAAGTTGCTCCTTCTGCCAGGCAGAGCTTAGGCTCTGTGCTTACCCCACCTAGTCACCACACAGGTCCAATATTTCCAGCCAGTGGGAGCTGAGCCTCCTGCCTCACAACAAGAAGCTAACAGTTCCAAAGCCTTGGCGTTGGTCTTGGCCATCGATAGCCAAGTAAGTTTGAAAAGTCCCCAGCTTTGACCTAGATGCTGAAAAGTCCCTGCTAACAGCCCAGGCTGCTTACTCGACTTTTCCAGGGCTGCTCCCTGACTCTGTGTCCTGAACTGAGGTGTTGGAAAGAACATGTAAACATTCCCCTAACCTTTAGGGAGCACAATTCTACACTGGGAAATTGAAGGGTCACCTTGGATGCTGATTTTAAGAAAGCAGAGAATTGGGGGCCTTGAGCAGAGACAAAGCAATTTAACCTCTACATCTCCAGCACTGTGCTGCCACAACCCATCCACCCCTGTGGTCAGATGGCCCAGGACTCAGCCCTGCCACAGTGTGGCACACTGGTGGCTGCAGCTGAGCAGGTTCCTTGGGCACATCTTCTGTATTACGAAGCTTTGCCTACGCAGTTCTTAAGTAAATGCACTTCTGCTAAATTTAGCCACAAGCTGTTTGGAATTTCAGCCTTCTCTGTGTCAAGTGGACACATTTCTTCCATATTATGCCATATTCCTAAAAATATTTACACCATCTCCTCTCAGTGCCCTGGCCACCATGGCCACTCTTTCCCTCTAGCTGCTGCTCCGCATCCCCAAGCCTCCTTGCCACAAGGCTCCTCCTGAGCCATTGATGGCTCAGCCTTGGAACCAGCCTGACCCTCAACTACCGTGGAGGGATACACTTGTGCTAGGGTTCTGAGGAGACATCCACAGAGACCTTCCCTGATACTAGCCACAGAAACTGTGGTCAAGATGGGAAGCCATGTTTGGGCTTGTAACTATCCTGTGCACATGGCACTCTCAAAGTATAATTAGAGGTTCTTCAAGCCCAGATGAGAAGCAGAATGGGAAGAGGCTAAGGAGGTCCTGCAGACACCTCGTGGCCAGGGACAGGTGATAGGTCTCCAGATTCCCTTAAGTTCTGAAAGAATTAGGGAAGACTATCCTAAAAGCA